ATTTGGATACCTTACCCTGTGACCACCATGCTAAGCCTAGTACGACCTAGTGATATTCCCCTTAGTCTATAAACACAAGGCTAAGTCGTTTCTAAATAGGACTGGGCTTGTCCAACAGCAGCTGATGGAAATAGATGAGGTGCTTCTATCACACCTAAAGGCACGGATCTTTATCTGCCTGGGGGTGTGGTAAGGTAGGAGGTAGCCTTTATGTTATCAAGGACAGCAGTAAAGATGGGAGTAAATGCCCTGACCAGTTTGGCTCAGTGGATAGAGCATCGGCCTGCGGACTGAAGGGTCCCAGGTTCGATTCCAGCCAAGGGCATGTACCTTGGTTGCAGGCGCATACCTAGTAGGAGGTGTGCAGGAGGCAGCTGATCGATGTTTCTCTCTCATCGATGTCTCTAACTCTCTATCCCTCTCTCTTCCTCTCTGTGAAAAATCAATAAAATATATTTAAAAGAAAGGTGGGAGTAAAATCATTTGTTGAAAAAGTGGAGAATAATATATTATATATGAATTGGGTTAGCATTCCTTAAATAGCCTTGTAATGTCATCTGATTTTTGCAATAAATCTTTTAGGATTTATTGAATGGACTTTTTAAGAGCATATTTTGAAAACATTCTTCTATGACACTGCATTTTGTATTCATGAAGTGTGAGACATTTTTGGAAAAATGGTCTTTGGGAAAATAATTATGGTCTGTCTCAGGTTATGTATTCAATTGGAACCCTGAGTTTTAGTCCCTCAGTATTTTTCTCCTAAACTTCAAACATCTCTCTCCCTAAACAAATTTTTTCACTCTTTCCTCTTCCCTTATGTAAATACACACACACTTTTAGAGGAATTGACTGATATATGAGTGTAGCCTAAAGTTTAATGGCAACATGGAACTATTTAAAACCTGCAGGTGGAGCAGATGGGGCTTTGATTCTCTCCTTCCCAGCCATGTGTTTGGTGAGATGTTGTCCCAGGCTCAGTAAGAATGCCAATCACAGACTGGGGAGGAGGGCTCGATGCTCGGCTGCCAATCACAGAGGGGGGAGAAATGCCCTAGGCAATGTCCTCACTCCCTGTGTGTGTCTTCACCCATTTGTTTTTCCCCCATTTCGTGTTCTCCTTCTCATCTGGCGGATTGTAAACCGTTAGTGCCAAAGATCTATTGGTGACACTTATTCTTGGGCAGGGTTTGTGACATAGAAACAAGATCCCAGAAATAAATTTGTTGAAATGGTTGCTTTCAATTGGAGCAGATATTAAAGGTGATTCATATGCCACTTCCATTCCATTCTGTATTTTTTTCTTAAAGGGGTTTCCCATCTATTTTTATTCCATCTTAAAATGATTCTATGGCTGCATCTGGCAGAGATGATCCCCTGCAAGACAACAATGGAGATAACACTTAGTGCATTGAGTTCAGTACCTGGAGCCACCGAGGCAACAGCAGAGTACAGTCAGAAGGGTCATCTCCTAGGCCTGGCCCTCCTGAGACTTTCCACTACCCCACACTGTCCCAAATCATGAGTTAAAAACAGCAAAAACAAACAAACAAAAAAACTAATAATTGCTCTCATTTATGCTACATCAGTTTTCTTCTGCTTTAAGAATAACACAGGTGTCTAAAGAGAATATACACTTTTGGATTTAGAATGGTTATATGGATACCTTATTAACTCCCAGTGACTGGACAATTTAATTTAATTTAATTTAATTTAATTTAATTTAATTTAATTTAAGGACTGGTCTATTCACAATGTACGTGACTCCACATTTGCTTCTGTGACATGGAGATGACAGAGGGAACTACCTATTGGCTGGGGGCAGGGAGGTCTTTCTCTCTTCCGATTTGAAATCCCCCCCCTCTTATTGTCTAGAAATAAGAGAGCAAAACTTTGGCCATGGTCTCCAGCAGCCACTGCTCCACTGCACAGGGTCCGGAAGGCAGGAGTCCTGGGACGTCTGTGGGCCCTCCCGTGAGCACAGGTTGTTTCTATGGCTTCACTAACTTCCAAAGTAGAAACATTGGTACCACACACTTAGATGCAGGTAAGCACAGTTCAGAATAAGGAAGGGCAGTGGCCAATGGCAGCTGGTGTCCGGGCCAGCGGCTTCGGGCTTCTCTCTGCCCCTGGCAGTGGCTTGTGAAGGAGGGACCGCGCAGGGCTGGAGGAGAGAACAGATCTGGGCAGCTGGATAGGGAGTGCCCATTTCACTGGCTTGGGGTGATTTTGGTGAAATTCCTAAACTTTCCCATCAGTTTATTTACTTCTTTACACCCTTATATTTCATAATAGTCTCTGAACTTCTTGAGCTATGACATTTAATTGTACTCAAATCTATTCCCAATTCCTAGCCAAGGTCAAGCATAAAGTAGGATCTTATAAATATTTGTTGGACTGAATTACATTGAAATGATTAGGTCACTTCTAGTTCTACTTAGGGGAAAATAGGGTAAGGGACATGATACTAACAAATGCCACCAGTGACACATAAAAAGACCACAAGAACCTAATAAAAATGGTAGCACAGTTTTATGCAAATGATATGGTTAAGAAACACAAAAATGCTATAATAAATATTGACTTTTACCTGTGAAAGATCTTCAGTTTGCTTGTGAGACTGTTGTGCAGGGCTATGAGTTATTGGGAGGTGTGGGAGCCGTGTTATTTGAAAGCAGAGGATGACTGTGACTGGCATGTGGACAGGTGAGGCTCAGCGCCCGCTGTGCACTAGCTGGGATCCTCTGTGGTGTCTGCTGCATGCACCCGTGCACGTGTGCGTGGAACTGTCCTGTGGGGCTCGGTCCACTCCAGGTCCATTTCTGCACTCACCTGCTGTTCTCTGACGATAAAGCAGGCGTACACAAGTACAAGGTCAGAGTTATGTTTAAATTGTTTCCCAATGAATAGTGTAAACAGTTTGCACTTCCGAACAAGTGTCTTGGAGGTGGGTATGCACCTTCTCTCGCCTGCATCTTTGCGGAGAGAAGTGGCTGGAGCTCATCTTTCTCTTCAGAATGACCCAGTCTGCTGAGGGGCCCTGGCTGTGGTTTCTGTTATTCCTCTTTGGTGAGGATCTGGCTCTGTTCTGGGTTGGTCCAATAACTCAAAATGTTTTTCAAACATTTGTGTTGGGGAAAACTCAAAATATGCTTTGCCAGTTGATTTTTAAACACATTTCACAAAAAGAAAAAATAACCCTTGTGTTCCTGCGATTTGATGAAATGCTGCTCCCTCAGTATTTTCTGGATAAATAATCAGCCTCAGAATTCTATATATATTTTCTCTAAAAAATGTCAAATTGACTTTTGATGAAAGCCATTAATGCCATGGAATTTACCTTTAAACTGAATAACACATCCGTAACTTGTTTTGACTGAAGTCTGCCTAGATTTCATGAAGTCATTTTGCAATGTCCTACAAGAGCAATAGTAAACAAATGGAAAAAATGAAACAGGAAAAGAGTGCTTGTACTGACATGTGAATGCCTTCTTTTCTTCCTTTCCTCCTTCCCTCACCAGTCCATTCCTTAAATAAGACTTTATGAAAAGCCTAATATGTTCCAGATACTTTGTTAAGATTCGTGAAGAGCATGCCATCTCTTGAAGGTTACACACAGATGAATAAGATACTACACACCTTTCAGATGACCAACATGCCATGCGAAGAGCAGCATACTCTACACGAGACTGGGTGGTCAGGGCATGAGAGACAATCTGGGAGAACATATCTATGTTTCCGTTATTGAGAACACACTTCTGTCCCACTGTGTTCCACATTGTGGCTGCATCAAAGACACTTTAGAAAGGATACCTACCATATTTAAGGAAGGCTGGACTGGTGACTATTGAAGTGAATATCACATTAAAGATTGTGCAACATCAGGACTGTTCTCTATTCCTTTGTGCAATTAAAGCTAGGAACATATTTTCCAAAGACTCTCACACAAAGGCAAATAAGAAATTCTCAATTATTCTGTCCTGATACAACTATTACAAGGGTCCCCGTGGCCTGAATATGAGAGAGTAGTTCAACAATGCTTTCCCCTTTAAAACTCTTCCTTCTTGCAGAATGAGCTCAATAGCTGTAACTTGAGGCTTTACTGAAACAGTTGACTCAGGAATGGATAGATAATTGGGTTTTACAATTAGACAAATATGGGTGAGAATTCTGGTCACACTGTTTTCTTTTGTTGTGCTGAACTATGGTAGCAATCATCTCAGGTAGAAACTATAGTTTAACTTTAACCTAGCTGTTTGACTTCTGTGCTTATTTGCTTTGTTTAACAATAGAAGTTACTTTGATTTTCTGAACTTATGTATGCTATCCCATTGTTTGTGATCTCACTGGTTTTAGGAATCACATTCTTCTGTACCTGGGAACCAGGACTGCACAATTATCCTAAATTGCCTCAGTGGCTCCAGATAATGTGTTTCTGTCAACTCAGTGGTCCCAAGACCCATGGCTCCAGGCAATGTGTTTCCGTTGATTCAGTGATCCGGAGACCCAAAACTATAATTTAACTAACATGCTCAATTCTGCTTCTGTAACTGCTTTGTGCAAACCAGGTTCCTCATTCCAAACCCAAAGATGTAATCGATACCTTTGTGATTTTTGCCTATATAAATCTGGTGTTGCGGCCATCTTATCACTATGAGAATTGAGAGAGCAAAATGCCCCCTCGTAGTCCCGGATTTGTAATAAATGTGACTCCTTAATTCGACTTCTTGAGGCGTCCTTGTGTGATTCATGGGGTACATTACAACAGTGACCTTGGGCAAAATATCTTTAACATCTCTGATCTTTAGTTTCTCTAACTGTGAAGGAAACACATATTTTTCAAGGTTGTTGTGAAGAGGAGATGAAATGGCACATAGAAATAAGCAGTGTTGGCCTCGTTCAGAGCAGGCGTTAATCAATGATGTGGGTAATGCATGATTCCTTTCTTGATGGGATATCTCTTCCTGATAGAATGTGCCCTCTTTCTCCTGTTGTTTCAGACAACTGTGATGACCCGCTAGCGTCCCTGCTGTCTCCAATGGCCTTTTCCAGTTCCTCAGACCTCACTGGGACTCACAGCCCGGCTCAGCTCAACCGAAGAGTTGGTGAGTAGGGTGACTGATTCTACAACGCAGCCGTGGGTAAATGGAAGGCACAGAGAGCATGCATGAAAACAGTGATCAGAAGGAGGATGGAAAGAGGGGTTGCAGTGGGATGAAATATGTCTCCTGGCACAAAATGAATATTCAAATTATTCTAATTCTTGTTCCCCCAACCCGCATTATTCCTCCTTGATTATCATGAGAGGCTTTTGAGAAAATATTTAAAAAAAAGAAACCCACCAAACAAAAAAACAAAAAACAACAAAAAAAATTGCTTTATTTTTAGTGTTTCATATATGTCATACAAACAGCTACAAAAATATATTATTATAGCATTTTTATAATAAGTATGCATGAAATCTAAGATTTTCCTATGATAAGTTTAATTTTTACAATTGAATAAATGTTGTTAATGTTTAAAAATATAACATGCTATTGAATAGACGTAAGATAATACAAAAGAAAATATATAACCCTACCAGCTAGAGATACACACAATAAAAGTTGGGTGAGTATCTTTACAATGTCTGATAGAAATAAGAACAGATACCCCCTAACTAGCCTTTTATGTTAAATTTATTTTAAAAGTATGATAGTAGATATCTAAATGTACATATTTTAAATCAGATTTTGATGTTGGCTTTTATTTTTACATAAATATATAGTTCTACGGTTGATTTTTAAATACTTAATATCTGATATTTGTATATCTAAGGAATGTTAGAAACTCTTTTTCAAATTGAGAAACATAATTTTGTATGCAATTTCAATAGGTGCACGGATCAATTAGAGCTCATACTAATAATTCTTAGCTATATTTTCCCATTGATAAGTGAGACCAATCACATTACTAAGTTTTTCAATGTTGAGGTTTGCAATCTGGAATAAATTTTAACTGGTTATTACATTACTGATATTGCTTTTTTAAAGTGTAGGATGACTTAACTTGTTAACATTTTAACTTATAATTTTAATATTATTAATTATAAAATTAATTTGCTCTTTTTGTTTCTATATTTGTTGTTTATTTTGTACCACATTTCTTAGGTTGTATATTTAATGGGATCAATAATTCAGAAGTTAGCAAGTTCTGTGTCTTTGTTAAAAAAGAAGCTTAAGATATTATTTTAAAGAAAAAATAAAGAATGGCCAATTATATATACAGTGGGAAAATATTAACAGTAATCTACAAACACTCTCTTTGCTGAATACTCTGTGCCAAAACCTTTAGAAGGCATTCACCTGTATGAAGGTATGTAGTTTTCACAAAGATAAAATAAGGTAAGCTTACCTTGTACCTTCAAGCAGAGTTCTTGAGACTTAGATAATTTTCATAAACTTAAAATCAGAGATAAGAAAGAGAAATGCTTGGATTCAAATCTTAGTCATCTAATTAAAAGGCTTTGCCCCTTCCAACCACATAGGTTAAAAAAAGTAAAGGGTCCTTGAAACTACCAGGCAGAGGTCAAATGCTGGCTATGGCATTTACTTACAAGCTCTGTAAGTGTCTACTCATCACTCACCTGCTCCCAACCGTGGGCATCTATTGGTACATTGCACCAGTATTGCCTGCCTTGCAGCATTATGTATAGAATGAGACCAGACTTGCATGTGTAAAAAGACCTTTCTCATTGTAGGGTAGAGTTGCTCTGGAGTCAGGGAGCTCCACTTGTCATTTCAGGAAAAACTACCAATCAGCAGAGTTTTTTTAAAAAAATGTTTTATTTATTGATTGCCTGATAGAGAGAGAGAGAGAGAGAGAGAGAGAGAGAGAGAGAGAGAGAGAGAGAGAGAGGGAGAGAAAGAGATTGACTTTTGGTCTACTTATTTATGCATTCATTGGTTGATTCTTGTCTGAACCCTTACTGGAAATCAAACTAACAACCTTGGCATACTGGATGACACTCTAACCAACTGAGCTACCTGGCCAGGGACCAGGTGGGCAGATTTTAATGTGGTCTACAACAGGGCATTCAAAGCGAGAATTTGTCTGGCAAATGTGTAGTGTTACAAAGTTATTACCACCTTGTAGTTCCTCTGCAGGTTCTGGGGAAGCTGTGAGTCTGATCACATGCCAGCTACTTTCATAATTAATAGATATTGAGGGCATAAATGTCTCTGATACAACTTATTACAATGGTCCTAATCACAGGAGAATCGGGGTGCCCGAGCCCAGGTCAGCACAGTGATACAGAGACCACTCTTCTTTCTCCCAACTAGAGTTTAAATTAGGAAGATCATGCAAGAGACACAGTCATGGATCTGAAATACATTGGCCTACAACTCACATCTAGCATAGCCCTCAGGGGTGACAGCCTTCCTTCCGTTCAGCAGGAGTTAGGCACAGACTTAAGGAGATACTAGATAGCTAGTTCTCATCCAAGCATCGTTCATTTGAGTCGCTTGGAAAGCTTTACTAGTAGCAGTGCCTGGTTCCATCTCTCAGCTATCTATCCTATATAATAAAAGGCTAATATGCAAATAGACCAAACAATGGAATGACCAGTTGCTATGACATGCACTCACCACCAGGGGGCAGACACTCAATGCAGCAGTTGCCCCCTGGTGGTCACTGTGCTCCCACAGGGGGAGTGCCGCTCAGCCAGAAACCGGGTTCATGGCTGATGAGCACAGCAGTGGTGGCAGAAGCCTCTCTTGCCTCCGTGGCAGCACTAAGGACCCTCGGGGGGATGTCTGACTGCCAGGTTAGGCCCGTGAGCAGGCCTAAGCTGGCAGTCAGACGTCCCCCAAGGGGTCTCAGACAGTGAGAGGGCACAGGCCAGGCTGAGGGATTATCCCCCTCCCCAGTGCACGAATGTTGTGCACCGGGCCTCTAGTAATAATAAAAGCATAATATGCTAATTAGACCTTAGATCAGACGTCCTTCCAGAAAACCTTCTGGATGAAGCCGGGGCTGCAAGGGAAGCCCGGGTCCTGGGTGCCAGAGGGAAGCGGGTGCCAGCAGCTAGGGGAAGGAAGGCCTACTCTTGCATAAATTTCGTGCATTTGGCCTCTAGTTCTAAAATAATTGTCTGGAATGGAACCCAAACACAGATATAGATAAAGTAAAATGAATACAAGCTTTTCAGATGATTTCAAAATACAAGGTTTTCAAACCACTAGATCAAATGAATTTGTGAATAACAGATCCTTCTATTAATATTTATGGAGCACTTGTATGTGTCAGACACTGTGCTAGAACCCTGATCCATATTTAGTAAAAATAGGCATGAACCCTGTTCATAAAGTATTTATATGTACCAATGGCTTTTATACAGAACTGGAACATGTAACCCAAACATTTACAGGAGATCAGAAAAGACTCAGTAGAGCCACAGCAATCTTGAGAAAAAAAGAACAAAGGTGGAGGTATCATGCTACCTGATAACAAACTATATTATAAAGCCATAGTAATCAAAACAGCATGGTACCGGCATAAAAACAGACACAGAAATCAGTGGAACAGAATAGAGAGCCCAGAAATAAACATGTGTCTACATGTTCAATTAACACATGGGAGGGCAACAGTAGTTTTACAGTTGTGACTGCACAAAACACAGTTTATTCTTGTGTCATTATTTATCAATCATTATATTATTTATTTGTATTATAACTGTAAATCTACTTTTGCCCAACCCTGTACATTACAAAGGAGACAAGAACATACACTGGAGTAAAGATAATATATTTAATAAATGGTGTGGAGAAAATTGGACAGACACACGCAAAAAAATAAAATTAAATCACCTTCTTACAACAAGTACACAAGAATAAACTCAAAATGGATTACAGACTTAAATTTAAGACTCAAAAATCATAAAATTCCTAAAAAAATCCATAGGCAGTAAAAATCTCTCATAGTTTTCTCTTAGCAATATTTTTTTCTAGTATATTTCCTCTGACAAGGGAAACAAATAAAAAATAAACAAATGGGATAAACATCAACCTAAAAAGTTTTTGCACAACAAAGTAAACCATCAACAAAACTGGAAGATAACTTACTGGATGGAACAAAATATTTATCAATAATACATTCAATCAGGAGTTGTTACCCAAAATTTATAAAGAACTCATGCAACTCAAAACACACACACACACACACACACACACACACACACACACACACACATCCAATTAAAAAATGGGCATAGAACTGAGGAACTGAAAGTTACTTATCCAAAGAGTACATGCAGCTGTCCAATAAATGTATGAAAAGCTGCTCAACATCACTAATCATATGAGAATGCAAATTAAAACCACAATGAGATCTTATGGAAGGTCCTCAAAAAATAAAAAAAAAAAAACAACGAAACTGACTGTGACCCAGTGATTTCACTTCTAGGTATATATATATGAAGAGACCCAAAACACTAATTTGAAAGGATATGTGCACCTTACGTTTATTGCAGTGTTATTTACAATAGCTAAAATATGGAAGAAATCCAGGTGCCATCAATAGGCAAGTGGTTAAAAAAGTGGTGGTATATGTATACAGTGATGTATTACTTAGCCATAAAAAGAAATGAAATTTTACCATTTGCAACAGGGTGGATGGAGCTAGAGGGTATTATGCCAAGTGAAATAAGTCAGGAAAAAATGGCAAATACCATATGATTTCACTTATATGTGGATTCTAAAGACAAACAAGCAAACATAATAGAAGCTGACTCATAGATGCTAAGAACAGACTGATGTTGGCCAGTGGGGGGGGGGGGGGGAAGGCTGGATGCTAGGTGAAGGGATTAGGAAGTACAGATTAGTGGTTACAAAATGGACACAGAGGTATAAGGTAAAACATAAGGAATGTAGTCAATGAAATCATAATATCAATGCCTGGCGCCAGGTAGGTATCTGAAATATTAGGGGGAACACTTTAAAGTATACGATAGTCTGACCACTATGCTGTACACCTGAAACTAATATAGAATAATATTGATGTAAACTGTAATTGAAAAAATAAAATTTTAAAAATCATTTACATGTATAATGCAAATTACTATGCA